ACTCGCACTGAAGATCCAGACCAGGCCGTTGCCAAATAAAAAAATGTGTAATGTTCTTGCTTTCTAAATGGGAATCCTCACTTGACAGGTCTTTATACAACAATAATTAAAAAAGTGAAACGATAATGGAAGTAAAAAAACACTCAAGTAACTATGAAGGTGTGACTCTTCAGATTATTCATGTGCTTCCAAAATAATCTTTCAAGGGCACAAAGTCAAATGAACGTACAAGAAGCTGCTCTGCAAATTCCACACGCTAAAATATTTAAATTTAAATACATCATTTTAAAACGTACAGTATTAGATGAAAAAGATAATGGCAAAATAAGGACTCAGAAAGAGAGAAAAAAAGTATATGCGCCCCCAGGCATGAGCTGCAGTGAAACGTACATGTTAATAGTTCCAGTTTCATAACACATAACATACATATTTGGTTTAGTCCCTTAAAGACATCAAGAATAGAGAAGCATTAAGAAAACATAAAACTATTAAATTTATAATTATACATCGAAGAGGTTCGGAAGTCAAGAGCTGAGAAATAACCTTCTGCAATGTGACTGAAGGCTCCACTTCAATAAGTACACCAGGACCACACACAAGGCACTCTTTATCCCTCTCGAATTCCGTGACTTTAGTATGGACGCCTTGTGTTCCATTGTACCTACATAAGATTGGATTAATTGGTAAGCAATGGTCATACTTTATCCTGTGCGTCTAAGACACAAAATAACAAGCGAATTGTGTGAGCACACAGATTTGTATGTACAAAAGTATTAGAAATTCATGCTCGTCCTTTTAAGCGTTGTAATTTCAAACTTTAGAGGATGAAGCCCTAGCAATCCGGAAACAATTCTAATGGATAAGTTGAAAAGGAAATACTTAAATATTTGTAGGGCAAAATAGATACTAGAGGACCTAAAGTGAAGTACTGAAATTAGCCATGCTACATGGGATTGGCAGAAAGAAATTATTGTAAAAATAGAGAAAATGAAAAAATACATCATACAACACTGGCCATTTGTATACTACTAGGCAAAGATCTCGCCTCAAGCCCTTGGCTAAGTAAAATTAATATTTAGGGCCATTTTCAGAGATGTGATACTAAATTCATTGATGGACCTTCTGCTTTCCCGGGAAGAAAAAAAAGGGGAATAAGAAGACCGCTTTGCCCATTGTCCAATCCCAACAGTTTTTGCACCAGGAGGCATTTTAGACATGCATCAATAAAATCATTAATGGGCCTTCCCCTGACAACTAAAGCTTTTCAAACAACTTGACCCTCAAAAACCATTATAGATCGTGTATTGAAAATTATACTATTATTACCCCCAAAAAAAAAAAAAACTCGAGCAACATGAATATACTGAACGGTGCATAATTTTGAGCAATTTCAGGCGTTTCTTTTGCATTAGACCTTTATTAAAGAAAAAATGTTTTTCTGTGTCCATGTCTAATATTCTATATCTCAAGTATGCATCCCATCTAAAGTGAGTAAATGCAGAAAAGATGATAAAAACAAGATTAAAGATTGGAAATAGCAATTATTATAGAAAAGAAAGCACATACGTTAAATAATTGGACAAAGTTTTGCTGCACTCTGTTGCAATCTTCAGTGTTTCCAGTGCACATGCAGCAGATATAATTGCATTGGTGGAAGCTATAGCTGGAATGATGTTCTTCACAACACCCTAGCAAATAATTAACAGCTTAGTGACAAAAAAATATGTAGTCCAAGTATGACAAGGGCAGGAAAAAAAGGAGAAGCACAAGTATCTAATAATTCATGGTAATTCTAAGAATTTGTTCGGAAGGATTGGGTAATAAAATGTGGTGGAATAGGATATGTTGGCAGCCCATCATAACCTGACCCACACCCTCGTTTCCAAAATTCTACAAATTGAGGGGTTTCAGATGGTTTGTGTTCCTTTTCATTTAACATTTGCCCTGTTAGCTTTTCACTTTCCTGTTCTTCTTCATATTAAAAGAAAATATGAATAAGTGAATATTGAAAACCTCTCCTCCGACAACACCCCCCTATTTATTAAAAAAAAAAAAAACCACTCTGTTAACAGCATTGTAACTTCCAAATGACTGTGAATCGGGACTAACCCCATCCCAGCTTTCTTCAAAACTCCCAAAACAAGCCCTCAGCAAAGGCAAAAGGCAAAACCGTATGGATTGAGAAAAATCTACCTGGGTAAGAGAATAAGTAACTCCTGGAATGCCAAAAAGCTCAGCTCTCTTTAAAGCCTACAAATATCAATGGTGAAACTTGTCACAGACAAGCCAAAGATGCATGCCAATCAGAAAACAAATAATCAAAGTAACTTCACCTCATCGTAGACCCATTTCATATGCTCAGGGTTATCTGGATCAAATGCTGTTGCACCATGAACCTGAAAAACATAAGGACGTGTATTAAAATTATGAACTTCACGAAATGACAAAGGAAGCATCAAGAAATTAAGCAATGAAATACCTCATTCCATTTAATCAAATGTGCATATTCAATACAATGAGCAGCTGTTCTAGGGGTTTCAGCAAGGGTGCATAAAGGAAACTTCACTTGAGGCGGGAAAAGCCAGATTGTACACTCAAAGCATGGTGTGATCCCTGGCAAGATAACCCTAGCATGGCCCTTGAAACCTTCAGTTCCACCATCTACCATAGGTTTGATTGTCTCTTCTCGTGGATTATCGTCAGAATCATACTCTAGATTAATCAAGGAAAACAAAAGAATCAAAAGGTTAACACTAACAGACAACAACAAATTTTACCAGAAATGGCCGAATATAAATTGATAACCATTGGCTGAAATGCCTGAAGACGACAATCCTCTTATTTAAGGAAAAAAATTAAAAATGAAACAAAAGGAAAAAATACATATATTGGAACCGTGTATATGAAGCAACATCAATATACAGGCTGTGGAACCAAAACTAACGAAATGACTAGGTCTATTGTAACCATAAAAAATGGAGATCCTAGTACTGATCTCATTATAGAATTAATGTACAAAAACAGTGAACAAGCATGGCATTTATGCCTGCAAAAGTGTTTTCCTTTTTAAGGAATCTACCTCACATCACACGAAAAATTACAGTTCTATCATCATGTTATTTGAGGAAAATTAGAGGCACGTAATAAATAACAGACCTGCAGGACTAAGTTATTGATATCTACATAGTTTTGCAGCACCGCAATGCTTATTAGGATCATCACTACTTTAAAATTTTGTTCAAAAACCAGAAGTCTAACTTTTATGCATAGATTTGAAGAGCAAGGTTGGAGGACATGTATCCCTTGCTCTCAGATACACACCTAATGTGGGCTTTATTTCCTTCTAGATCAGATGCATGTATCACTATTACATATCTCTATTCAAAATTCATGCATGTTATTTGTCCTACTCATTGATATTTCTATTGGGAAAATCCAACACCCCAACTACAAGCCGCAAAGCTTACAAAGCAGAAGGAATACACACCTAGAAAACTGCAAGCCACAGAATTGATGTAGCTGCGAGCCTCAATTGAATCAAGACCGAGGGCAATAATGTTGAAATCATTATAAAAAGATATGTCCTTGTCTTCAATCCGGCAAAAATGAGGTACAATATTTACACCACTGATTCTTTCCATGACACGCTTGGCCGCTACCTCAGCTTTTGGTTTGCCAACATCTTCAAGCCTAAAATAATAAAGTTCCAATCAACTTCATAGTAAGTTGGAGTAAAAGAAACTACCTTCCCTCTAAAGCTTGTCGAAAACCAGTAAAAGCTGGCAGCAAACTATATTAGGATCTTGGCACACATCAAGAGTAACAACCAAGCTCATGTGGTATAACTAGGATTAAAGAGCCCTCCCTTCCCAACGACAAAGTATTCAGAAGAGCAACAGAATTAAAACATCTATTCAAAAGATATGAACTTTAAGTAGAGAGATTTACCTAAACAAGAATTGACGATTGAGATTAGTAACCTCTATACGATCCATATCTATGACCTCCAAGTTTCGAAAACCAGTTAGTGCTAAATCTTTCAACAGCTCACATCCCAACCCGCCTGCCCCTACTACTAACACTCTGGCGTAAGTCTGAAGGTCATCTCTCATCTGCAATATGCCAACGTGAATTAGTGCAAGAAAAAAAAAGGCAGCAAACAATCTTAAAATTAGCGTATGCTCGTTGTAAAAGCTAAGTATAGAGAGCGGGAGAGAGAGAGAGAGAGAGAGAGCAAAAGAGCGAGTACCTCAGGGCCAGGTTCGAACCTGGGACCAACGAGATTACCAGGCCTAAGAAGGAGCTTGTCAAGATCCCTCGATCGGCTCGGTTGCGGTGAGACGTCCGCCATTGCCGTCGCTCTATTGGGATTTTTCCGATGACAATCACAGACCCCAAGGAGAATTTTACACCCACCGGGAGTGGAGACGGGAATGCAGCACAGCTTGCCTTTAACGCTCTCGGGATATTGCCGTATAGCGAAACAGGACGATCCAGTGACGGGACGAACTACGCGTCGTTTTAGTCGTCCTTTGGCTTTCCTTTCCCAGGGAAGGAATTACTTGGTTATAAATTGAATTTTAAAATAGAAGACAGCCAGATATGTTAAATTATTATATATATATATATATATATATATAATATTGTTAAGATAATTGATAACATTAGCTGATCTAAACTTATGAGTGCCTGTTTGTACTGGTGGTCAACAATGGTGATTTTAGATTATTGTAATTTTTTTTAAGTGACACTAGTTAAAGATAATATTGGTTAATCGTAATTTATATTTGTATATTTTTTCTTATAAGTGACTTTCATAATGTTAATTATGTTTGAATTTTATTTATTAAAATCACTTATAAATATATAGTTACTAGAAAGCAACAAGGACATATAGGAGAAATATTATTTAATATAAATCTTATAAGTATTTATTAATATCTAAACATTATATTAATTTAATAATTATTATTAACGAGGTTAGGTAATAGAAATTCTCATGGTTAAACTTTTATCAGGATTTTTCAATCACAAAATCAACTCCTAATAACTTGTGCTCAACTTGCAATAGAAATAAAAATTACAATTTATCGAAATTTCATGTTTAGCAAATGGAATAAATAAACTTCATAAAATGATTGTAATTATCCCTATTTAAAGTGTGATACAATGTTACTTTTTTCGCTAATCAAAATGTAACTTATAATTTTAAATAAAGATAAAATTTGGAAAAAAAATCATTTTCAAACAAATTTAATGGCTTATTCGCTTCTTATTTATTCCAGTGAAGTTGTTGAAAGCGTATTAAGATTTTCAAATTTCAAAGCTCAAAACATGTTTTGCTGAACTTCCCGGCCAGCAAAAAAAAAAACATGTTTTGCTAAACAACAGAAAGTATTAAAATTATGGGAGAATTACAATCAAGTCTCAGAAAAAAAATTACTAAAAGATCCTAATAACAACGTGAGTAGCTTGTAATGATAAGTTCTAGAATGAAGAATGATAACGTCTGATACTTGTTTTAAAATATATTTTTTCTTGGAATCTCATTGTAATTCTTCCTAAAACGATAATTAAGAACTTGAAAACTACTTCTCTAAATCTATTTATAAGTCACTTCTAATATGTTTCGCATAGACCAAGAAAATTTTTAAACTTTATTAACTCTCATTTAAAATTCAACAACTTTTCAATTTTATTCCTATCTGATATACATTATACATCATATAAATAAAATTAACATAATAATAAATAAAGAATAAAATTATTTATTGATATAAAAAATTTCTCTAATGCCCAAACCATAGTTTGGGCAAAAACATTGCCAAACACTAGGAAAAAAAATAGAAACCATGGTTTTAGCCCAAAAACCGTGGTTTGGGGAGAAGCGAAAGTGATCTGTTTTTGGGGAGAAAATTGGAGAGTGTCAAAGTGGGTTTTGTGGAATTCCAACAGATATGTGCTTCTTTTTTTTTTTTTCCCAGACGGATATACCCCTCAATTATTCATTTCTTGGTCCTTTGCTCCTCAAAATCCATTCCTCCTTCGGTCCTCCTAAGACAGAACACCTTGCCATCAGTGAAGTGGCCATCGAGTCGCGGTTTGAAGGCGCCGGTGAGAGAATTCTTTGCTCTATAGAAGAAGATCGCCCCTTGGGTTGTCTAATCCATCCATCGTTGGCTTGGGTTTGTCGCTATGAAGCATCCTTCACTGGTGGTTTGGTGAGGTCGTTGTCGGTGGTTCCCTAGCTCAAATCCAACGCTCAAGTAAGGTGTCTCCTCTTGAATAATCAATTCTTTCCTTATGCATTTTCTTCTTCCATTGCATCGAAATCCTGCCTTCAATTTCTTGTTACTCTCTGTTTCGATTGGTTCATGCCTGTTTTGCCAACATGTTGTGCATCGTCTGGTGCTCTTTTTTTTTCCCTTTTATTAGTTCATAGATCTGTTTCCTTCTCAGATTTCGTCCAACCTTAGTTAATTTTCATTTCAGTGCTGGCTTGAGGGGGTGTTTTCTTGGTGCATAGCTGCTTTTGCTTGGTTCATAGTTGTGGTTGATATTTTGCTTCACTAGTGGGTTGATTTTCATTTATGGGTTCATTTGTGTAGCTTGGCTTATTTCCTTCTCAGATTTATGGATTCATTTAATTTTGGTTTGCTTGCTCTGTTGAAATTGACACATCGTGCTACTCTATTCAGTTTCAGGGAATTGAGTTGCTTTCGGAGTTAGAGGACCTGTTTTTATCTCCATGTAGTTTACATTAGTTTTTCCAGATAGACATATTTATAATCCTTGTAATTATTTGTAATCCTGTTTTGAATGAAATTATCAGATGTTGGATTTCTGGTTTTTAAAATTAATTTCTTTTTTTTTTGGTCATGAAAGGAATAGGAACATAGTTTTATTTTATGTTGGGTTTAAAAAAATTAATTACATATTATAAATAAAAAGATAGAGTTTCTTTTTTTTTAAAATAATAATGAAGGAAAGAAAAATGTTAATATGGTATTGATAGCTTATTTGGATAAGAATGACACTTGTTATTTTAATTGATTTTGGGTTGATGAACTTGTGATGACTGAAGAGCTGTAATTGTTTTATAGCATAATGAGTAAGGATAAGGTGAAAGCTTCATGAGATTTAAGAACGATAAAGGTGTTTATTGACTTGTGCATTGAACTAGTGCAATAAGGGGGAAGAAAAGGTACAAGCTTAACAAAGAAAGCTTAGGAAATTTTTGCTGATAAGTTCACTACCAAAACTGGGAGAATCTACACAAAACCTCAATTTAAGAACAAATATGATTCCCTGTAAAAAGAGTGGCAAACATGGGATAGGTTGCTTTGCGAGACAGGTTTGGGATGAGATACTGAAAAGAATATTGTTATTGCAGCTGATGATTGGTGAGAGAAGAAACTAATGGTAATTATTTAACCTTTTGATCTTACATTTTCTCTTCCTGTTAATGTTTTTGGTATATTTATTGTTTTTTTAATATTTTATAATATTATTGGTATCTAATGTACAGGAAGTTTCAAACTACAAAAAATTCAAAGAAAGAGGACTTCAATTTCGGGATGAATTAACTCAACTATTTGGGAATGTGGCTGCAATTGGACCACAAGCATGAGTACCTTCTTCTATGACACTTCCAAGTAAAGGAGCACCTGATGATGATATAGAAGAAGGGTCTGGAGATAGAGATGAAATTTTAGATGTGTCAACTAGTATAAGTAGGAAATTTAACTCAGTGACCTTTAATGAGAATAGTGAAGGTGGTGGGGGCAACACTGGCATTAGGTAGGATAACAGTGGTGGGTGTACAAGTAGAGGTAGGGCTCGACCTAGTAGCTCATTGGGGGTCAGAAGGAAGAGTGAAGTCATGAAGAAAAAAGCATTTCCCTCTATAAAAATAGCAGATGCACTTAGTAGGATAGCTGAAGAAAATACTTATGAGGCTTAGCGTGGAAATGAGGTCGTTTCACATGCACAAGCTAGAAAGTTGGAAGAAGAAGCATGTGCGTATGAGACTTAAATTATGAGAGTCCTGTCTCACCTCAAAACAGTTAAGGAAGTTGTCAATGATGCTGATTTCTTTAGACGATGCACACAACTCTTTATGAAACGGCCGGAGGCACGGGAAGTGTATGCAGCTCTGAAGGATCAGAAGGAACAACTTCTGCCCATTTTGGAGCATTACACTAAGGATTTACAACTTTTTTATTATATTAAACAATTCCTTATGTGTATCATTTTATGTGACTTATGGATTGTTCTATGAATCAGACAACTCTGTTACTTTCTTAAATGTTTTGTAATTTCTGCGTAAGGATTTTAAACTTTATGTGTATGTGCATAGGATAAAACAAAAATGGATGATGAAATTAAACTTTTGGAAGAGTATGCTAAGGGACAAAAAAAAGGGGTTAACGAAGTTGTAGCATTGGTCGGTGCATACACTGCTCTTTACACACCCCGACATACAAGTGCTCATACAGGCAGCTCATGGGTAAGGGACGTTTTAGATGGCAACCCCAATCATTGTTATAATATGTTTAGGATGAAACAGGGTGTGTTCTTAAGTCTGGTCGAAGAATTGCAACAACATGATCTAAAAGAAACTAAAAATACAGGGATACATGAATTAGTTGCAACGTTTTTACATACCATTGGCCACGCACTTCGTAGCAGAATGCAACAAGAAAGACGTCACATTCAAGGGAGACAATTAGCAGACATTTTCATAATGTCTTAATGGCATGCTGTGGACTTTCATGTCTAATATCAAACCGAAAGATCCAACATTCTGGTATGCTCATACAAAAATACTGTTTGGTAAATACTGGCCTTTTTTTAAACATGCTATTGGAGCACTTGATGGCACACATGTTGACTGTATTGTTAGTGCAACAGATCAAACTAAATTTATTTCTAGAAAAGGAACAGTGTCGTAAAATGTCATGGCGGTCTATGATTGGGACATGTGTTTTATTTTTGTCTTGACCGGATAGGAAGGTAGCGCACATGATGCTCGGATATTTAATTATGCCTTCACAACTCCTTCAATGAACTTTCCCCATCCACCTGAGGGTTTTTTTTTTATTTCCTACATTTTATTTATAGTTAGCTTAACAATAGAAACATTATTTACAATTATTTTATTTTTGATATAGGAAAATATTATTTGGTGGATGTTGGATACCCAACACCAAATGGATATCTCGGCCTAGATAGATCGGAGCATATCCATCTGCCCGATTTTTGAAGGACATCTACGCTTGAAAATGAAAATGAGATCTTTAATTATTTCCATTCAGGTTTAAGGAGTACAGTTGAAAGAACTTTCGGAGTTTGGAAAAATAAGTTTGCAATCTTACGAAACATGCCATCCTATGACTATGAAACACAAGTTAAAATCATTTGTGCAACAATGGCTATACATAATTTTATTAGAATGACATCTATTACTGATCTTGGATTCATTCAATTTGACGAAAAAGGTACTTATGCAGAAGAAGATGATAATGGAGTTGGATTTTCACATATACATTCATCAAATCAATCTTCATCTTACATGGCTCGGGTTCGTGACAACATAAGAGACAAACTTGTTAATTACATACAAGGATAGTAGTCATGTCTTATTTATTTCCTTTTATCATAGATTGTAATACGTAGTTAAAAAAAACTATTACAAATGCTCTGTATCGATGCAACATCTTGATTATTACGACACTTTTTATTTATATTCCTTTTATTAATGTTATACGTTATATTTTCACGCCAATTATTACTTATTTTAATAATTAATAAATTGTTTTAATACATGTTTATTCAGTTGTATCAAAAAATATCATGCCATTTCATATTTATAATCTTCACGAAAAATTAATAATCTTCTGTTCACAAAAAATTATTCATCTTCTCCAAAAATATTTTTACTGTTATAGTTTATAAATATATATACAAACACATAGTAACAATTAATTAATTAATTATATTAAAGATCGGAGGTAGTATGTTGTTACAAAAACTAGTCGTGAAAAAATATTATGGGATTTCATGTTTAAAATCTTTAAAGAAAATTAATATTTTTCTATTAGCCAAAAAAATGATCATTTTTCTATAAACATATTTAATCTTATGTTTTATAAATATATACACATATTAATTAATTATTAATTATATTTTTTTATATTATTAATTATGTTGGTAAAAAAATATATTATCAACAAAGTTATTTCTTCAAATTCAGATATATTATAAAATTTTTCTTTTATGTAATTATTATATTAATTTATGCCTTTTTTAGTAATTTGTACATATAAAAAGTGCTTCTAATAACAACTATCCAAATACTCTCACTTTATCAAAATCACTTTTTAACAAAATCTATTCTTCCAAGAAACTATCTTTCAAAAGTTATTTTCCAAACTATAATCTGGTTTTATCCAAATATCCTCGTAGTCTTTTTTCCAAACTCGTTACAATGTTACTTTAAAGATGATGGAAAAAGGCTGGGTAGATTCCCCAAACCTTTCAACAGGTTTCTCTCATAATCTTAACAAAGAGCCCAGATTATGATAACTTGTATATGCAATGAAAAATAGTCTATACCTTGTAGGTTGAATAATGATAGTTCTATCTGCTGTCCCAGTTAGATTCTTCCTTTTGAAATGCAATCCATCTCCTCTAAATCATATTCTAATATGGATAAAGAGTACATGTAGTTAATTTTTTATTTACAAAAGACACTTCTTTGAGAGAGCATATTATTTTTTATAAGAGACGCTTTGAAGTGTGGAAATATTTAGATACTTAATACATTTTTTCATATTTATTTTTGATTAGTTATATATCTTTCTCATCTTTTTTCTCACTAATTATCTCTTATCCATTTTTCCACCTATTCTCTCTCCCACCCACATTTTCCATATATAAAGGTGTTCTTGCAAAATAAATTGTATTTTTATACATTTATTGCTTCTAACTAAATTTAATTAACTTTTTTATCAACTCGGCTAATCATATCTCATAAAAAACGAAGAGAGTAGTCAAAAGTATCATAAATTTAAATCATAATTTTAATATAAGCATCTCTTGCCTATTATAATTTTAATATAAGCATATTTCATTGGAAAAACATGAAAATAAATAGTATTCCTCCGGTTCTTAATATAGGACCTAATTGTTTAGTTAATTTTGATTCTAAATATAAGATCTATTTTTCATATTTATCAGTTTTTTCTAAATTACCCATATTGATATTCTATCAATTATAATCAAGTAAAAGAAGGACAGAAGATATTAAAAAAGATGATTATGATGTTTTAAGAAAAACATGTCATATTTCTTATAATTAACTAACTTACCTAATTTTTTTAATCTAATCAAATTAATTAAATAGGTCTTATACTAAGAACCAGAGAATATTAATTTTTTGTATTACAAAAAGTAAACAAAAACACGCTTCCTTCCCATAATATTTTGAAAAATGAGATAATATGTCTCTCTCTCCCCAATATTCTACTCTTACGTCTTCCATCTCCATATTCTTACCCCTCGCAATCGGTGCTTCTCCCTCGATGTTTCTCTCTCTGTTCAATCTTCTATCCTGGATTAGGCCGATGCGATATGTTTTTTTAAAAACTCTGATATGTTTCAATTTTTATCTGCCCCTTTTTCGTAATAAAAAAAAATCAGATTCTTCTAAATTTTGCGATGGTTTCATCGAGATGACCCTGAGACCTGAGCTCTACTTATCCAGGGTAAAACTTTGAGTTTATGGATTATTCCCAGCATATGATCAAGAGATGTTCAAATTCTGCATCGTGCATTGCTTGTGTTACCCTCCTGGTTCATAAAGAGCTTCTGACAATTAGTCGTGGGCAATTGAGTTCATATCTCTGGTGAAGTAGAATAATCTTTGATGATTAATGATAATAACCAGTCACAGTCTGAATTTTCAATGTACAAGCAAAAACATTTTGACGAGAAAAATATTTTTCCTTTTACCAGTATTTCATCAAAATTGTGTCTAAATGTACGATTTACAAAAAGAATTGATAATTACCCCATCTCTGCTTTCCCACCACTATGCATTCTATCCCAAAATTGACGTCTATAAATAAAAATCTTCCGAGACCTTTGCCTCTGTTTTTAAAATCACTGTTTGCAATTTGAAGGCTCTCTCTGCGAATCATATACCTGTGAATGTTGAGAAGCTTCATGTTTAAGGAAAAGTGCATAGAGCAGCTCATTCCATGCATCAGGAACACCAGGGAGGCACCAATGGCTGCAATCTTGACGTCGACGAGGGGCGGGCCCTACACCATGGCCAAGATAATAGAGAGATGAATGCCCATCTTTTCTCTGGGCTGTCATGTGGGTTATATTCAATACCTTCAGATTCATAATTCCATTTCCAGTAGTGCTTGTGTTTGTAGATGATGATGATAACAAAGCATTGGCTATTCTGAATTGTGACCAGTTATCATTAGGCACCATTGAGGTGGATCCTAACGCTGGCAGTGTTTCAAGATGACAGTTTCCACCTTTCTTCCAATCCCCTCCTCTGCATCATAAATACTGGTATGCTTTAGCTTTTGAAGACTGATATACTGTAAATCTGTCATTTCTTTCAGAAAAAGCATAGTGAAAGATATCATTCTTTCAGGCAGACAAAATCTTCACATTCTACCCAGGGTCTAAGAGAGTGAGAAAAATCTTTGAATCTTAGAGACAAAAAAAGGGGTTGTGAAGCAATTACCGATAGGTTTGGACGTTTGGTAACTACAGAAGTAAACCTGAAATGATTGGGTTATCATAGAAGATATTATGGTATTCAAGACATTTCAATTAGGCATGTCAATAAAAAACGTCCAAAAAAGAAAACATAGGGCATTTTGAATGAGGCGGCATCTACTATTTCTTATAGTGGGCAAATACCGTCTAAGAAGGCATAAAATGTCCGCCCATAATTCAGAAAGGTACGTTCTATTAGAATCCAAAACAGCGTAGTAGCAAAGGAACAATCATGTTTTAGAATTCTTAGTTTAAAATTCTCAAGAGTTCATGAGGATGGAACAATTTTAGTAGTGTGTATAGGACCTAATTTCTCTGTTTTTTCTTTCCACTCAAATCTTATTCTCATCTTTCTTTGAACTTCACCATCAACAACTATAGGAGTTTCAGGCTCATTAGCAAAGTGTTGGAGATATGTCATTTGAACAGTCAAACAAACCTGAAATGTACAGGGGCATAGGTACGGAAGAACACCTGGGTCTTGTTCGGGTTTACTGCTTCTTGTACCCACTTCAACACAGTCTTGATGGACCTCTGAAACGCATCTTCTACTCTCATATCCCACTTAATTTCCGAACCTTGTTGGAAATAACAACCCCTGCAGAAATAAAATACAATGGACAAAACGTGAAGTTCACCAAATGCTGCTATTCTGATTTACTGTTGTCTACTACTTCAAAGCCCAGTATATAAATTACCCTCTGATGGTCTTATCATAATTCCACCAGTGCCCTGTGTTAAGAACCAGAACATCAGCATCTCTCCATCTCCATGAGTTCCAATCCATTGTATCTAATTTTAGTGTTGTCCTAATCATTTCAGGAGCTGCAGCAGGAGGGCGACTCTGCAGAACAAGAAATGGAGCTCTGTAGTATTCTACAGTGCAGTTATAGTCTTTGAATCTGAACACCAAGAACCCTTTGTGCTTTGTGATTGGATTGCCATTCACTTCATAGATTGATTCTTTGTTGGCTACTCCAGAAGACAGCATGCATAACAGTGACTCCCATTGGTTTCTCCCAATTGAATCCCCAGCAAACACTAGCCGTTTGTTTTTCAGTTTTTCCAACATCAATGTTGCATTAAATCTGGTTTTTGGTAAATGTTTCAAGTGAAAAGATAGTTAAAATGCCATGATCTAATTATCATCTTTGACATCATTGACAGGTACATGTTCATTGGCACCAACACAGTACTTATTCTAAATTTCTAATCATACTACTGTACATGCTAGCATCCTTCTGTCAACAGAATTTTATTCTAGAATTCATACTTCTGAAAGTTCGTGCAGTCACTACTTTCTTTATTTTCTCCTCTTTCTATTAAAGATACACTAACAAGTTTTAAGGGGGGAAAAATGGGAAACATGTATTTTTATCCTTCAGCAAATAAAAAATTTCATCCCCATATGATCAAAGATGTCCAATCAAGGTGCAGCTAATATATATCTCTATATGATATTAAAAAAAAAAAATTAATGAGTTGGACTTTTAATGAGTCATAATAAACCGTACTCCATAAACCACCTAAATTAATCATGAAAAATAGAATATCTTAAGAGTCAAGATTGAAGAAAGAAACAAAGGTTTGCTGTGCACAAAAGAAACTGGTAGAAAAATACTGAAAGTGATGTAGAAAGATACATCACAAGATCGACTTACGAATACTAGAATAAGTTGAAACGCAACCAAATTTATATATATTATCTCATGGCCTCACTAAATGTTCATAATACGACGAATGGTTTATGGCCATTCAACCGTGGGGTCACTTTCAAGATGCCGGAGAAGAATGGGTCAGACAAATCCAAAACCATACACTGTTTCAAATCCCAAAGAGATAAGACAAACTTATAATTTTCCCCATTCAGATTAATAGACTACGACTCGTTCCTCTCATTTTCTCGTTTTCTCAGATTGCTGCCAATGCTGACAGTAAAAGGATAACACTAAACCCATAAGTTGCCGGAAAATAAGTCGGCCGGCGTTTTAAATTTGATTTCATCTTTATGAATCTCTAAACAAACATGATTACACAATACCAATATTATGACAGTAACAAGTTTTGAAATATGATTTTGATAGGTACCTGGGTAAGTTACAGTCTCTGGGTTGCCATCTCCATTTGGTGTAAAACAAATCGGGTCGTCCATTTTCAGAACAGCGGAATCCTTGATCGAGGAAGGTACAGTTATTTGACTGATACAAAGGATAGTTCTCGTCCCAGACCCAGCTTCCAGTAAATAAATCACAATCACCACCTTTTTCTCCAAGAAATTCAACTCTCTGTTCTTGTTCTGACTTATTCATCTGTACCCATGGAAGTCTCCTCTGGGACCGACCCGAAATCCCGAAGCGTCCAGTGAAATCTCTGTAATCCAAACAGAAGAATGAAAGAATAACAAAAGCAGCGAGGGCGGAAAAACCCAAAACACCCAGAGACGGTTCGAACGGCCTGAAACGTTTGATCCTCCTGAAAGCTTCGAACACCGGCATGGCTTCAACGTCATGGAAGGAGAAGGCTTTAGACATTTAGGTGAAGAAGAAGATAAAAATTTTCAGAACTGAAGAATTTGGGTATTGTTGTAACCGTTGAAGGTGATCAGAGGAGAAGGAAAGGCGGAAGCTTGTGAAAAGACGAGAGTGATTCCGAGGTGTGGCATGCAAGCAACACGGCATTCATGGAAGCCCCAGTTGAATTGAAAGCCTTTTTTTTCTTTTGTGGGTTGGCTTACTTTGCTTGGTAGGTCAGTATCATGAATCATTAAATGATGAAGGAATGAATGAGAAGCTAGAAGAAAGAGGGAGAAGATGGGTGTGAAAGAAGCAAAGAAGCATTCATGGCGGCATTATATGCACACACACCACACACACACACACCCCCACACACACACATTTATATATTCCTTCGCATATTTTTTTCATTTGTTGAGTGAGAGAGGGATTCGGGATGCACGAGCAAAAGGCTTTTGTTTTTGTTTTTCTTGTAAAGAAAATATGGTATTGGTCAGCTAATCTGAGTCCTAATATTGTCTTAATCATTTCTCAGTCGAAAGATTTTGATTTTGACTTATTGGTCTGGTCGAAAAAGGGAAAAAAATCTAATTTATAGGAGATTCCGCATTGGAAAAAAAAACTTGTAAGAGATTTGCAAAAAAAAAAATCATATATTGATTTTGATAATATGCTCTTGCATATTTAAATATCCTCAAAGTATCCATAAAAATACAGCTATTACCCGATGGTTTTTTTTTTGTTATTATATGTCTTCAAAGTATAATTTCGTAACAAAATTATCCTAGTGTTAATAGACATTAAATTTGACTGTTATCAACTTAAGTAGGTCAAAAAGAAAAATTTAGTTTGTTAACAAGAAGGCAATTTTGGTACTAAATTATGCTTCCAACTTCCAAGACATATAAAACTCAAAAATTTTCTAAATATTGAGTGCTCTTTTCGTAAATGCCTTCAAAATATTTAAAGATCTTAACCCTTTAATTTATATAATTTGAATTTTTAATTTTATTTTAACTTAAAGACATCCAACTCACTTTATTCAATTTAATTATAATTGGTATGTTCATCTTTTTTTAAACGTATTCACTTCATTTCTGTCTATGAATTATTATTAAATCCACCAGCCAATATTTTACATATAAAATCATCAAATCAGATTAAGTAATCCTTACACGTAAGAACTACTTAATTAGTTTGAGTAGATAAAAAAATTAAAATAAATTTATTAATTATAAAAATGTAACGTAATATATCGTTTTATAAATTATATAAATTTTTTAAAAAATAATAAATCAATCAATTTATTTTAAATAATTTTATGAAAGTAAAAGAAGGTGTACGTGTCAGCGATGTGGATGTATAAACGTGGAACAAGACGTGGCACGTGGGGAAGGTGGAGGGAGAGTGGATGGTGAGAGAGTGGGATGAAACGCATGTTGTGATTGGGACGTGTGTTATCCGGTCGCAAGAAGTGCGTGAGAGAGTTTCTTCATTTTGACGATTCCTCCAACGCCCCTCCCGCGCCTCCGCCTATTCCTTCGTCTCTCATACCCCTTTCCAACGCGCTCCGCTTCTCTGTTTTTTTAATTTACAAAATATTTAGATAATTTAGGTCTATCAGAATTCAGAACATGCTTTCAAACTTCGAGAGTAGTTACAAGGACACTTGCACATCATTTATCAACAAGACTCTTACAATAATAATAAGATTTGAACTCATAAACTTTTAATTTATTTAATCATTAATAATTAGTTTTATTAAATAGAAGTTATGGATTTTCTGGTTAAAAAAAAAAAGAAGTTATGGATCATATATCATAATTTTTTTTAAAAAAATAAACTAGAGTCCCATTCATTGAATACATAGATTATCTATGATAGATAATTAATACTCATCTAATCTTATTTATAAGTTATTTTCAACATATTTTATATAGACCAAGAAAAATCTTAAATTTCATTAACTTTCATTTAAAATTTAACAACCTTTCAACTTTATCCCTATTTAATATATATTGTATCTTATTTAAACAAAATTAATACAATAATAAACGAAGAGTAAAACTGTACATCTATATAAAAAATTTTTTTAATACTTTATAAATAGGACCAACAAAATGTCTTCTCTCTACATATAAATAGTACTAAAAGAGCATTCATCATGAATGTTAAGTCAATGAAAATGTGGCTCAAAAAATTCTATGAAAAGGAATACTACCTCCGGTTCTTAATATAATACCATATTTGATTTTTATTTTAGTCCTAAATATAAGATTCCAATCCACTTTGTCTCTTATATATTTTTTTTTTCCAAAGTAGTCCTTCTAATAATGATAGTTCTAGTCAATATACTTGATTAGCAAGGATATTTTAGGAAAGGCAACACCTATTTAGGACAAATAACTAACTCAACTTATTTTCTTAATCTCCTTAAATTAGTCAACTGGCTTTTATAATTAGGATCAGAGGTAATATGTTATATCACTGGCTTGTTTTTCATCCTAAATGTAAATACTCTATTTTTCACTTTATCTCTTTCTATTTATTATTTTTCTCCTAGTTAATTTAACAAACTTAAACTAATTTTATTATAAGTAACAATATTTGACTTTTTAATTTATCTAAATTTATTGAGTAGCTCTCGTATTAAATACTGGAAAAATTATTATATAAAATGCGGAATCAGGCACCATAACGAAATCATCAATGTGAATTATTGATTTATCAGTACGTTACAGTCTTATAGAAAAGTCCTCAGTAAGATTCTTTTAACCCAATTATGTGGTTTATAAAAATAATTAAAATTATTTTAAAATAATAAATATGTAAAAATTGGACTTTTTTCCTAAGTATGTCATTGTTGAATAAGGGAGCAAAGAAAGAGAGAAATACTAATAATAAGATAAAAGATGAAAGAGAATGCAGAATGAGAGGGGAAAAAATAGAAAATTAATTAAAGAAAAAATTAATAAAAACTCATTTAATATATATACCCCTAAGCAAAATCTTATAAAAATGACCAAACTAATTGAAATTTTGAGATCTTATTAAAAATTGGACCGAGTATTAATTAATAGAAGTTATTATTCTGCATTTTAGCTTCACCAGATAGTATCCGTCACAAACAAGCTAGCTATTTAATGACAAATATCCATTGGAAACAGACACAGTAATTATGAGATCTTACTAAAAAAGGAATATTTTTTTCCGGCCAATATAAATAAGGAATACTCTATATGGGTTCAAGCATTTTTTTTAAAATTTTTTTCCTTAATTTTCAGCTGGGCTGAAGAAAACAAAATGAAAAGAAAAAATTATTATAATTTGGGTTTATATAAATTCTATTATGTTAATGTATTAACTAGATTTCTTAGAGCTACGTGGCTGACTTCTTTAAGTAGAACATAATTTATGTAAATTTTAATGCATGAGAAGAAGATTGGGGAGATTAGTGAGCATTGTGTCGGTGGAGGAAGCATCTAAGTAATTAATGATTTGTAAGATGATAGATGCATCAAACCAATAAGAAAGAGTAAAAATAAAGATTGTCGAAGTTATGGAAAAGATAATTAATGAAACCAAAATAGATAGAAAAGTAATTGAATTAAGGAAATTAAAAAATTAATTAGAGATGATTAATATGTATAAAGTGTATTTATTTTTTTAAATATACTTTTATTTATGAAAAGGATGAGTGTCATTATGTGAGAAAGAATAAGTGGAAAAAAAGGAGATAATAGAGAATATGTGAACAAAAATATGAGATAGAATCTATTGAGAGATGGAAAATAAAATATAATTCCCAGTTAAGCTTATGCTAATTAATACAGAAATAATGAAATAAAAATGAAAAAATGACTTAAAGTTTTAGACACACATAAAATATAAAGGTTAGTCTTGACTTTGATCTCATTTTATTCTCGATACCTAAAATTCGAAATCAATAATTTTAATATTTGATATTTGACTTTAATTTAGTATGCCTGCAGATTTTTTTCTTAATTTCTAAAACAATGTTTTTGTTCATAAAATAACATTATCAAGACTAAAAGCTACTAGTTCCAAATTTTACATACCAAAATTAAAATAATATCAAATTCGTATATCAACATTTTTGGGAACAATGAAGCATAATTTTTTAATATATCATGTCTCAGAATTTGATCAATGTACAAAGAACCCAGAGAATTGCACTCTGAAAGTCTGAGTCCATCACACGCGTCTCACGAATATGAGTAGCTGGATCTCCATGCACCATGGCAAATTCTACGTTATCTATGCATTATTAAATTGGGCCAAGGTGCCAATCCCGTACTATTTTTCTAATTTTATTTATAAGTTATTTTTAATATGTTATATATAAATTAAGAAAAAATTTAAATTTTATTAACTTTTATTTAAAATTTAACAGCTTTTTAATATTATTTTTATTTAATTTACATTATACCTCATATAAACAAAATTAATATAATAATAAATCAAGGATAAAATTGTACATCTATACCAAAAAAATTCACTTAATGCCTTATAAATAGAACCAAAAAATGTATTATCTCTTTGTTTTATAAACAGGACCAAAGGAGTATTTACAAAATAGTACCCAATATCTGAAAGTTTTTTTAGCTTTTATATGCTTTGACAGTTTATTTTCATAGCAAATATACCCTAACTTTTATCTACCGTTAAGTTTGACTGTTAAATTATGTGGTTTGACCCGTGTTTTTAATGTCCACTTAAAGGTAGATAACGATTCATGACAAAAATGCTACGAAATAAAATTTTTGAGGTATATTAGATCCAAAGGAAAATTCTAGGGGTTGGATGCTCTTTTGTAGATACTTCTAGGGTATTTAAGAACTTTAACCCTTATTAAATTTTAGAAGGAAAAAAAAAAGTTTGTCCGGCCTTATAATTTTTTCTGATTTTTAATTATATTTCTATATTTTTACTAGGTTTTTATAGTTTTCTGAGTCATAACTATTAGGGCCCCTATCTCATACTCTGTTAATTAAGACTAATGTAGATGCTGATCAATAGATATGTAAAATTTCCCAAAATATAAAATAAAAAGGAGTTTTCAAATATAAAATGACGGAATAAAATTAAGAAAAAATCAGTTTGAAGGTCCTTACAGTTTTATTTAATTTTGAATCAAATCTCTAAGTTTTTTTTTATCAAATTCTTTAATTTTTTACCATTAGATCAGTTAGTCTCTACCGTTAAATAAGCATTACCAGTGTTAAAAATTTCCATTAGTTGAAACCATCTTCTCTTTCCATCTCCTTTCACCATAGTCCCAAAACAGACCAGCTCTCCTCTCTCCTTCATTTATTCCTGGAAATATTCTTCTGCCCCACAATTAAATGCCCCAACTTCCTAACATATTCCCTAAACGGAATCCCTATGTGGAAGAGGAAGAGTGCAACAACTCTGATTCACGATGGAGGTATAACCATGGTCAACGCCCAACAATGAAGGGGGCCGTGGTTTGAGGATTTCAGGAGCTTGAGAATAGTGCACTTCCTAATGGCGGCGGCTGACGTTTTCAAACAGCTCCGCACATTTGGTTCCACACACATTTGTAGATACTTCTTCAACTTTAGCTAATTTCAAACACCCTCCTCAAGTTTACAATGTAAGGTTTGACGATATATAGAAGTAGAGGTGGCATATGAAATTACTCCCTCCGTTCCTTATTATAAGAGACAAATAACCGAAGTATGTTGATCAAAAAAACAGTTAAAATTAGTTAAGAACAATTAATGTATAAAAAGTATAATTTTTTTTCCAAAAATGCCCTCATTAATAAGGAGAGAGAGCATGAGAGAGAACAATTAAATTATTAAAAGAAAGAGAAGTAGGAAGGAGAGAGAGTGTGAGTTGGAGATAATAAATATGGGTAAAATAGTAAATCAACACAAAAAAGTAGAGACAATAAGTGTCTCTTATATATAGGAACATGCCATAAACATCAAATGTCTTTTATAATAAGCAACGGAGGGAGTACTATAATGAGTAATTGCCTTATCATTGAGTTGCAAGAATAATATGACAAGTTAACGGAAAATACAATTAAAATTTTGCAGAAGAGCGTATAAGGCAGTTGTTGTTTTATTTGCTTCCATCTATCATCGTCTTCGTTTTGGCAGCATAACCAAATCCAAATGCAGAGTAGTGCCTAGAAACTAATCAAGGCTCTGCTGACAGAAGCAGGAAAGAAAAGATCAATGAGACTGACAGAGTTGAAAAAAATTCAGAGAAATAAGCAGAGCTGTTGGGGATCGGAAAGGAGGTGAGGCATTTAAATTTTAATGGTGGGGAAGAAGAATATCTCCGGTAACACATGAAGGAGAGAGAAAAGCTTTGTCAAACTCGGGGCTATGGTGGAAGGAGATGGAAGGAGAAGAGACAAACGAAATTTTTAACGTTGTTAGTGTTTATTTAACAGTAGGGACTAACTAATCTAATTGTAAAAGATTAAAAGATATGATAAAAAGAGAAAAAAGTGTAGGGACCTGATTCAAAACTAAAGAAACTGTAAGGATCTCCAAATTAGTTTTCCCTAAAATTAATTTATCATCAAGATAAAAGTAAAAGAGATATTATGCTTATAATTGTACGTCTCCTTCTGTACATAATCTATAATTCGGTTAATTTTAATTTTAATTTTATTTAGATTCATGCACTAAAATTAATCCAGTTGTATTAAGAGAAAGAGCAATGACATACCAACCTTATAATGCATGAGAGTGGCATCACCTAGTTCTTGGTTTATTGTTTTGATTTTTGATTTTGTTTTATTTATCCTCTATTAAAAAAAAAAAAAGAGCCATGACATTAACCATTAATATTGTGTCTCTTATAAACTAACAATAAGGCCTATAGATGAGGCATGAAGAAACTATAAGAATCCAATAAAAAAATACAAAAACCTAATTAAAAATTATGTGAAATTATAAGGATATGTAGGTTAATTTTTGCTAAGTTTTACTCAATATTTTATTTTTGAGGTAAGATTATCTTTTTATAAAAAGACAAAAAAAATTAGGAGTTTGAATCTTATAAACATATAAATAATAAAAATTACTCCACCCGATCTTTTTACAATATCCAATAAATGGAATTCTGTGATTCAAAAATCTATTAAGATTAGTTAAAAGTAGTAAACACTTTAAAAAAAATATTTTTTTCTAAATACGCCGCTATTTATATGAGGATAAATGAGAAAGAGAAATATTTGTTAAAAAAAAAGAGTTGAAGAAATAATGAGAAAAAATATGAAAGAAAATCATTTCCTTTTTGCCGGGGGTAAAAATCCTCTGTGCACACACGGACACGGACGTATATGAGAAGAGTTTAGAAGTCTTAAGTAAAGGCAATAACTAGATCCATAAAGCGGCTTAACAGGGTCCAAAATTTTGGGTTATTAGAAGCGGCCCAACTTCATTCCTGGTATCCCAACGAAAATAGCTATTGTTTTACGCTCTCTTTCATCAAATGTTTAAATTTATTATTATATTAATTCATTTATTATAAATATAAAGAAAATATGATCAATAAGAAAGGATTTCATGAACTTTCGCTTCCCCTGGGCCCCTGCATTGTTTGGGGATAAATCTGAGGATGACATGGCTCTGTTCGACCAATGTTTTAAAAGCCGGACCGGAAGTCAAGCCGGAAAGATCAACGAGTCATGGTTCAATCGGTCGGATCGGTCGGACCGTTTGGTCAGACCGGTGATGCAATAATTAATTTAAAACAATATTATATACATATAATTAGTATATATGAAAAATATCAAATTATTAAATAATTTAGAAATGCATTTAAATAATCTAAAATTATAATGAAATCATTGAAAATGGACTAAAACCTTATATATTTAAATTTATGTATGTTTAAAATATTTAATGATATTACAAATTATCAATTCATTCAAATCAAAATATTTTTTTAAACGATAGACCAAATATCAAAACAAAAAGACTAGTGACTTACAATTTTAACACCACAATATATGAAATTTTCAATGAAATAATACTCTATGGTTATAAATAGTCTAAAAATATATTAGGATATTTAAGGGGATCAATTTTTTTATTTTCTTCTATTTTTTTTTTTAATTTTTAGTATTTTTTCAGTCAGGCTAAAAAACCGTCCGGTTTTCTTAAAACCGTTCCGGTTCCCGGTCCAACTCCGGTTTCCGGCTTAATAACGGCTCAACTCCGGTCCAATCCGGCTCAACTATATGAACGGTTTTTTGGTCCAAACCGAGCCGTTAACGAGTCCGGGTCACGGTTCAACCGGTTCAACCGTCCGGTCCGGTCCGGTTCTTAAAACATTGTGTTCGACTTCATTGCCCTATTGTGTTTCTGATGTTACGTGCTACCAAATGTGTGTCACCCGGTTACTGATATACAAAGATCAATAATGGGATATACAATAAATAATTTCCCAATGTTTAGCTCAGTGATGGGATATGAATTAATGATGATTCTTAGATATTTCGGATATTTAGTAGTATTAGAACATATCTGGTTTTATTCATTTTTGGAATAATTGCATATTGCTTTTGCCTCTCCCTATTCTGCCCTTCCCCTTCCCCTTCCTGCATCCAATCGATGAACAAGATTAATAAGCAAACTAACGAAGTTACAAACCATAAGTAGATATTAGATGAACTTATTGTCACTTTCCCACCAGCAACAATACACGAGCAATGTTCCAGCTCACTATGAAACTGACTATCCTGACACCAAAAGAAAGGGGGAAAAAAAAACAAAGAAGCAAAAAAAGGGTAAAAGAAAAACGAAAACGACTCTTGAATCTCAATAAACGCAGTCGGCTCTACATGATCTTGACGTCTAGTGACTTCCTCATTGCTGGTGGCTCTTTCTTTTGACATTTGGGCGACTCCATTAAAAGCAGAACATGCTCTGGTTTCCTGTTGGTCCTCCAACTATCTGCACTTTTGTATACCCAGAAAGTAATGATATTATCTTTTCTCCTCAAGAATCTGAATTGTTGTTTGATGGGGGGTTTTGGTGGTATGGCCAGACTTGTGCAGAGAAAGAAGGGTGTGGTGGCTGACCATAATCAGTTTGATCAACCACAGGCCTGCCCATGATCACTTTTGGAGCACCATATGGAGAATGAGGAGAATGCGGAGGAGGGGGACCCACAACTTGCTGAGGTGGCATGTAGTAGTAAGGAACATTCTCTGCTGCTGCTGGGACTCTAGGAACACCTGGGAGCATTTCATCCTTCAAGTCATCTCTTGGCACAATATCAACCAGAAAATCAAACACATCAGTCTTGGTGATCGCTGCAGCAATATCATTCTTCTGAAGTGTCCTCCTCTTGTTCTCTTCAGCATTGATCCAAGATCTGAGTGTCAGCTCCAGGATGAACATCTCACAGGCCCTGGCAAATATCACTGGAGCCTCAGCTGAAATCATCCTCACATCCTCATCAGCCTTCATGATCTTCTTGATCCGAGCTAAAGGCAGGCTATGATTCTTGAAATCAGCAATCTGCTCAATTTCATGGTATTGATTAGTCCAAAAGTTCTGCAGTTGTTGCCGCAGCTCTTGTTGCTGAAGCTGATGCATGTACTGGTGAGCATATTGTTGCTCTCTCAGGAAGGAAGAAGACGATGCAGGAAGACCTGATGCTGCCTGAGAAGGAGACTGGGACTGAGTCTGAGTCTGAGGAGCAGCCATCATTGGGTTAGGTTGATATTGGTTCATTCCATATGCCCCTTGAGCAGAAACACCAGACATTCCTCCTCCTGCAGCTAGCCCATGCTGGTTCTGATCCATTCTTGTTCAACTTTATATCTGTCATTCAAGTAGGTACACCATGAAACGAAAGGCAAAGCCAAAATTTTACCAGTCCAAACACCAAAACATAATATAATTTGTACTGAGATTATATCACGGTCCACTACAAGATATTCAGTCGGATGGTTCTTGAACTCAATCTTTAGATCTAGCCCTGAGGATGATAAGCTTTACCTTTTATTTCTTGAGGTACAAGTTCAATTAATCAGAGAAGGCTGCCAACATACAGATCATTCGGGTGGATTTATTATATTGAATTCAACAAAGAGCATATCAGTCATCGCGTGAATTATAAGAATGAAACCGAAGAGATTTGGGTTGCCAAAATGTTGCAGACCATTCTGCAGGCAACTTCAGGCTATTTGACGCCTCACAAACTCATTGATAAATCATAGATACATAAAAACCTTAACCGATTTCTCTCAACCAAACCAAGCCATATGCACAAAAGATCGAAAGGACTAAACAAAAAGAAAATAAAATAAAAATCTAATATGTCAATATTGAATTGACAATGGATGCTCTGTGGAATATATTCTCATATATCTTACATGCAGTGTTCTGCGCATAACAAATTCTCACCCAGAAGAGGAACACGATGACAAAGGCCAGCTCTCTGCCAAGATAACAAGATGAACAGTCCCCTTTAATAAGCTTTCCCCGTAAGAACCGGTGACGGCAATAAAGAGAGCCAAAAATTCATCTAACTATGGTCATCGATAACGCGTACACATTAAAAAAAGGAGGCAACATCAGTTAAACTCTGTGAATCAATCAACACTTTCGGATGGTAACAATCAAATCAACAGTAAAACAAGGAGAGGCCATGAAATTCATCGAATCTGATAAACATGCACACTCTAAGAAAGTGAAAACTAGCACAGAGAAGGACATACCTCGTTTCAGCTTCAAATGGTAGAGAGAATTCTGGAACCGAACTTGGCGTTCAATTCCAAAGCAGATAAGGAGGGAGGGGAGAGAGAGAGGCTTGGAGTGAAGGAAGAAGAAGGAAGAGGAGTTAAAGTGATGAGCACAACAAGGAAGCGCGGGTCTGGTTCGTTTTAATGCATTTGCTTTTCGTTGGAGTTTTGCGGTGGGACGATTTTGCCCTCGAAGGAACGAGTTAATGACAATATAACCAGAAGGAGACAAATTAGTGTGGCTAAGCAGGCACTGTTGGAATGGTAGCTTTCTTGACCAAATTGCAAACGAAATTTAATAAGGAAGAGTTCTGTAACTATCCCAAAGGAGGTCCCTATGTGTTTATGAAAGAGAATTATTTTTTTGCCAGAAATTTTAATGATATGTTTTAGAATTTTTCACCTTATCCCACAAAATATATCATTACATGTGAATTATAAAAAAAAATTTAAGAACCTTTGTGTGCTTTTACAAGAGAAACAAAAACATTATACATTACATATGTTCATCTAGAAGTGTTTAGGTGTCACTTCCCGACTATCGCATTTTAAAATTGGATAAGTTTTGATAACAAAATTGGCAAGTTTTTATAACATCTATTTTTAATTCTTTAGTGTGTCGTTGCGTGGGAAACAATAACGTTATACATTACATATGTTTACTTGGAAGTGTTTAAAGTGTCACCTCTCGGCTGTCCCATTTTAAAATTGGATACGTTTTAATGACAAAATTGGCAAGTTTTTATAACAGCTATTTTTAAATCTTTAGTGTGTTGATGCGCGGGAAACAAGAATGTTATACATTACACGTGTTTATCTAAATGTGTTCAAAATGTTCTGTCTCGGCTGTCCCACTCTAAAATTGGATACGTTTTGATGGCAAAATTGACAAGTTTTTATAACAGCTATTTTTAAATCTTTAGTGTGTTGATGCCGGGAAACAAGAATGTTATACATTACACATGTTTATCTAAAGGTGTTCAAAGTGTTCTGTCTCGGCTGTCTCACTTTAAAATTCGATACGTTTTGATGACAAAATTGACAAGTTTTTATAACAGCTATTTTTAAATCTTTAGTATGTTGTTGCGCGAGAAACAAGAATATTATATATTACACATGTTTATCTAAGGGTATTCAAAGTATCCTATTGCGATTGTCCCATTTTAAAATTGAATACATTTTGATAACAAAATTGACAAGTTTTCACAACTACAATTTTTAAAAACTTTAGCGTATTGTTGCGCGGGAAACAAAAACATTATATATTACATATATTTATCTAGCAATATTTACTTTGTCCTGATCATCCCATTTTAAAATTAGATACGTTTTGATGACAAAATTGACAAGTTTTCGTGACTTAGATTCTCTCCACTACCCTTCCCATCCTCTTCTCCTCCACTACTCTCCTTTTCCCTTTACAACCATTGAATCAAAACTCCAATAGTCCAGATTTAATATTTTATAACATTTTATAAATATTATTATAAAAAATAGATAAATAAATTTAAACTATTAAAATCTAATCTAAGCAGTTTATAGTTGCAGACTGTTATTATAGAACAAATTTCTTTCAATTTTTTTTTACGAACTGTTGAGACTAGATTTTAGCAGTTTAAATTTATTTATTTTTTTAATAATATTATTTTTATAAAATGTTAAACCTGAACTATTGGAATTTTGATCCAATAATCGTGAAGAGAAAAAGAAAAGGGTTAATTAATCTGCAAGTCCTTATAGTTTTAACTAATTTTGAATTAGGTCCCTATAATCTTTTTTCTTTTTATCAAGTCCTTATACTTTCACATGTTTTTAACTAGGTCTTTGCACTTGTTTTTCTTTTTATCAAGTTCTTATAAGTTTACCTTATTTTTAATTAAGTCCTTAAATTTTTTATTCTTTATTTTATAAATTCTAATAGTACTATTCTATAAACATAAAATAGTATATATTATTTAATATTAGTTTATAAACAATAATATTCTAAAAATAATGAATTATTATAATAATTTATTTTTTTCAACAAAAAAAATTAATTGTTCCGAAAATCTTTCCTGAATTAATTATTTATATTACTTATTTTTATTATATAATTATTAATTTAATTTAATTATTAATATTTTATATTTCAGTATTAATCTATTTAATTAATTTTATATTTAATTAATAAATAAAAATTAAAACTACATGGACCTTACTAAAGATCTAGTGAAATTATAAGGACTTAATAAAAAGAAAAATAAGTACAAGGACCTACTTAAAAACATGTGCAAGTATAAGGATTTGATAAAAAGAAAAAAAACTATAAGGATCTGGTTCAAAATTAGTTAAAATTATAAGGACTTGCAGATTAATTAACCCAAAAGAAAATAATGAAAAGAAAAGAGGATTGAAAGAGTAGTGGAGGTAATGCAGATCCTTTTTTGTAACTACAATTTGCGTCTTCTCCGCGCTCTGGATTATTAATGCACTTTCAAATCATGCCTCGTGACGTGTTAAAAAAAAAAGAATTTGCTTTATAATATTATTATTTGAATAATGAGAACAAAAAGTATTAAACTGGAAATCTTTATTTTGCTAGTGTATCGGAGACTAATATTATAGGATAAATATGTTTATTGGGCATAAAGTGACAGTGTAACGTGATGCCATCTCAAAATTATGTTCTGATAAAAAGATAAGCTGCCAAAATTGCAATTTGTGCCAACTTAAACACATCCGTGTGAACAAAAGGTCAACATTTCCTTGATATTATTATTGTTTGAATATTTGAGAACAAAAAATATTAAACCAGAAATCTTTAGTTTGCTGTTGGTTGATAAATTGACATTTAGAATTGTTTAAGTTGTCAATAATAGTTATATAATAAATTTGAGCTTCACTACTGTGAAAAAAAATTGATTTTGAGAGTTGTTTGATGTTCAAAGTTATGAACTTGTTTAATTAATACTTTTTTTAATTCCAGTGGGTTTACTGATCGTATATTTTGAAATTAACTTGTGCCGACCAAATTTTAAATCAACCCTTAAAGCGATGTTTCGTTTTGTTCATTGTATACTCTAATAAAATAATTAGCTGCCATTTCTCCTTGTTTCTTTACTTTTTCACCATTTTTTACGTCAAAATACATTTTCCCGACAAAATAGGCTATAGATCAAAAGGGGTATCATTATAAAAATGAGAAAAAAATTAATCTTTCAGTCCTTCAAGTTTTAACTCATTTGCAACTCAGTCCCTCAATTATGACTCGTTAACACTCAGTTCTTAAATTTTTAACTCAATTAAAACTCAATTCCTAATCTTTTTATATTTAATAAATAAACTATACACGGCAAAAGAGGTTGATGACTCTGATTTTAAAAAAAAAAAGCTATTGGGTCTTTTTTTTTTTTTAGTGAAGGAATATTTCATTAATGATGAAATATGTACAAGTGATTACAAGGGGCCATTACAAAAGAGTTGAGGGTCAGTCTAAGCAAATTGTATTGTAAATATCCTTTGCTCTAGCAGTATGTTCGCTAAGGGCTATCACTACACTCACCAGACGATAAGCTTGAGTGTCTTCGTTGCAGAATAACTTGCGATTTCTTGCCCCCCAAAGTTTCCAACATAAAATCCCAAAAAAGGTGCACCACGAAGGGTCTGTGCTTCTGGATCGCAGGTTCATTTTTAACCAAATATCAAAGGGATAATTATAAAAGCAGCTTTGAAGGTGGCTTGGCACTATAAGATTCCAGCAGGAGGTGGTGAGTGTGCAGCATCTTAGGACATGATTGATGTCTTCCGTGACTTTGTTATAGATTTCAAACATCTCGCTGTCAATCATATGTCTTCTAACTCTAGCAGTATCAGTGAGCAGTTTATTGCTCATTGCAGGCCATAAAAAAATTCTAACCCATTGTGCTCCTGGTCATTTCCAAACAAGGTCCTGATTCGGATTCTCATTATTCCATTTGCTCATCATAATCGACTCATAGCCTGAGGAGACAGTGTAGTCTTGCTTAGCTGTGAAGTTCCAGGCGCATTTATCTTTTATATCAGCCATGCGTGACACTTGGATTTGTGCAATCTGTTGCAGAACGTCCTGTGGCAGTAAACACTCAAATTCATTCCATTTCCAAATTCCATTTGCATCAATGAATTCACTAACTGGCTTGTCGAGCTGATCTTCAGGAATTGGCGTACAGGAAAGATTCTTCAAAGGTCCCAAGTCCCCCCACCCAATGTTCCTTCCAAAAACAAGCTTGCTTGCCATCACCTATTTCCTATTTTAGACCTATCTCCAAATCTTCCCATGGGTTCACAATGTTTTTCCAAAGATCAGATCCACTCTTGGTTTTGCTAATGTTTTGCTCCTGATGATTCCATCCATATTTGGCTTTCATAATCCTTGCACATAGAAGATCAGGCTGCGAGAATAGTTTGTAAACTAGCTTCAATAAGAAAGCCGAATTTTGGTGTTCAGGATCTTTAATACCGCAGCCACCACATCTTTTCGGTTGGCACATATTTCCCCACTCGATCATATGGACCCCTTTATGCTGCTCATTAGTGCCCCAAATGAAGTTCTTGATGAGTATTTGAATTCTAGCGCAATAGGATTTTGGTAAGTGAGTAGTTTGCATGGCATACATCAGCATTGTGGATAGAACCGACTGTACTAGAGTAATTCATTCTGTCAGTGATAGAGTTTTATTTTTCCAGCTTGAGAGTTTACTTTGAATTTTCTTCTCAATATAGTGATAGGTATCCCGTGTTACTCTCTTATGAAGCAAGGGTACTCCAAGATATTTACCTAAATCATCTGTTTTCTAAAACCCCAAAGCTGCACAAATTACATTCGTATCGTGGGGAGATACATTCTTTGAGAAGTAAATTCTGGTTTTAGCTTGACTAACTCTTTAACCAGATGAAGCACAAAATTCATTAAGGATCTTGCCAACGATCTGAAGCTATGAAGCTTTAATTGTGCTAAAGAGGATAAGGTCATCAGTAAAGAACAGATGAGAGAGGGGTAGGCCTTGTCTACCCAATCTTATGATTCGTCATCTACCTTCATCTTCGTGCTTGCAGATAGCCTGTGTTAGTTGCTCCATACAGAGGACGAA